TAATTTTTGGAGGAGGAGGAAGGCAAGTGAAGATACCCAGATACACCTAAGATTCACCCCATTGTTGTATTCAGTGGTGGTAGACAGTATAGAAACTCAGGGAGCTCCAAAAGAACCATACCATCAAAGCTGTGAGCAAAAGTAGCATAGAAATGCAGAGCATCAGACGTGATCCAAGCCCTAGGACTGAAAGCCTTTTGCTTGTAGCTAGGTCTGTAAACACCAAAACTAGGACATGTATAATGCTGGTCCCAACTCCAGATGAAAAAGAAGGGAAACATTTCTAGAAAAGCAGAAAGTTAATCGCAAAAAGCAGACATCATTTGAAGACTTGCTTATGCTGAGAGCAGCAGCCTACAGGCAAATAAAAGGAAGGAGAAAATTGCACGGTCAGAAATATGGGGAAAAAATCAGCACAGAGGATTTGTTTCAAAGCTACCGAAATCTATCGGCAAAATTGCATTATGTTTAAGAGATGGAGGTCTACTTTCAACGAAATTCAGTTTCTACAGAAACATCACTGTGAAAAGATTGTATCAATTTAAAAGTATATAATAAAAGAAAAGCTGTATGTAACCTTTTGTTAGAAAAATCATACCATCACAATGCTGAAATAACTAAAACAGCTTTGAAGACAACTTGCTTCTGTTGAATGCAAACTCTTGCCCTAGACTGTGAGAGACAATGGCCTGTCCCTCAGTGCAGCTAGGGAAAAAATCTAAATCTGCTGGAGCAGTGCTTGTGGAACATGGTGCTGATTTTAGTGGTGGCTTTCTCCATGCCCCAACCATGAGATCATGTACAGGGCTGTATTTACACGGTGATGTAATTTTACAGCAGAAGCTAGAAAAACAAGGAGGGTATACCATATCCAGCATGATTTACGCCAAGCTTTCCACAACTATGCAGCCTCCCACCCATGTCATACATATGTTGGCAGGATGTAATTAAAAACTGGGACAACCCTGCCCCCAATTTCTAGACACCCTTATGCCTTGGCTGTGAAATGAACTCGTAACTCAAAAAGCAACTTCATTGGGCAGACAGTTTTTAAGTCAAAGAGCATATGTGCTTAACTGAATGCTTAAAATTACCTTTTGTTTTAAACAAACGTCCTGCCAACAAACGAACAAACCAGGGATGTCTAATGGATTTAGCAATATGCCACTGTTTATGTTGTGATCACAAAAGATTGGATATTCAAATACAATTATTTTCCAAGAAATGTTCTATGATAATGTGGTTTACAAACTTCTATTTCCACTCATCTTTTGAAGTAGCATCTTACATTTTTGTTCCTTAAAAGGGATGCCATGCTGTGCCATTGAGATGTAAAGACTTGAAAAATAAATTTGTTGGGCCTTGTTTACATACAGAATGCTATTAGTCATAAATAAATAAAACAGAATTGTTTGATTTACCAGTGAAGTTATATATACACATTCTGGAAAATCTCATCAAGTTTAGTCTATGGCAGGAACAGATCTCTCTATGAATAACATTTAATGTAAGATCATAACTGGTCTTCCAGTTCACCTACATCCTTTTTGGAGGTGATTGAAATAAAACTGGTGCAGCTTCTGAACCTTTGCTTTCATCAAAATTGTTTTAAGTTGAGCAGCTCAGTGAGTCAAGTCACTAACTAAAAGGAACAGCAAATCCAACTGTAAACCATGTGTGCCTTACATCTACAAATTAAGTGAACTGACAAAACCAGCTTTTGTAAGCATTTTCAGTAACAGTAAACTTGGATATAACAATCAAAATAGTGTCTGAATATGCATCAAAGGGACAACATACAGCTGTCACCATTAGAAGAGTGCTCTGAGACACCTTTTTTCCTCCTTCTTGCACATATCCTGGAGTACATGAAGTTCCTTGCTAATTTATATTGTGGCTTGGTCTTCAAATGATGCATCATTTTCCTTTGTTGGAGAACTGCCTGAATTTCAAATAAGCCAGGAGCTGATTTGGAGGAGCCAAAGTCTCACATATATTTATAGGAAGGTAGACTCTAAGCAGTAAAGCAAAATATTCTGCAATTAAAAAGCAAGACATCCCAAGTGTTTTCCAGTTGGTGTTTTAAGACATTCAATTTGAAACACCCACTGAAACATCCCATTGTAAAGTCAGCTGTACCCCCAGACTGGTGGTAGGAACACGCATGCATCTCCTTGTCTCACATTTTTTCTTCAGGACTATTGTCTAACATAACAACCATACTGATAAGCTCTAGACCCAGTGAAGCATAAATGAAAAATGCTTTATGTGACAGCTAGTAAGTCTGTCTAACTGGTTGATTCTACTGCACCACAAATTACCTTCCATCTTTCACAGTTCTGTTCAAGAGTCAGTGTGTATACACCCCAGTGTCTCCTTCCAGACACTTTCCATTCCCATACATCCTCTGCAACAGCTCCTATACAAATAACATCACATAATTAACTCACTGGTAGCCCCTATCCTCCAGAACAGTTTTATTTTCCAACGCACTGTAAGCAATCCTCTGGACAAGCCCTTTACCTGGCAGGTGTCCTCCAGAGCACCAAAACAGCCATTATTATGAGACTATTATTTTGGGCGAAGATGTGTTGTTCGAAGCACAGCTTTGGTCTACTTGCAAGGTAAATGCTGATCTGAAGTGTGGGAGCCTTTTGGTTCTTGAGCTGGGCAGGTCTCTCTCCATTCCTGGATGATGTTCCTTAGGAGTGAAAGCAAAGAGAATTCCCAGTTTCCTCCCTGGATCATGGAAGGCAATAAAGAAAGCACAAGTAGGACACAGCAGTTAAAGCCAAAACATTGCAACGTGTCTTTTCTTCATCATCTTGCCTCTTTTTCTTTCTACCCCTCTACATACAACAGGGCTGCAGTGTGCACAGAGACAGATGTCCCAACGCTCTGCTGCCATGCTCTCAGTAATGCGGTGTGCACTGTGTCAGCTGAGACTAGTAACAAGCAGAGCCATATTTTGTGTGGTGGGACAAATAAAGGACTTTCTGCTTTCTATACCTGAAATACAGTCAATTTCCTCAAGAACAGTGTAGTGCTCTGGATTAAGGAACAAGTCTGGGCAATGAGCAACTTACATGCTCCTATTTTGTAGGAAAAAGGCATAGTGTCTTTAGCCAACTATTCTATTAAGAATTCATTAAATTCTTACATGAATGCAGACAAAGTGCAGAAAGCTCCAAAGCCTGGGAATGAGCACAGGATGAAGCAGTGCCTCAGACTATGCTCTTCAGAGTGCTCTGGTACCTGTGTGCGTCTTGCAAAGAGAGGCCTTACACATCTCCTCAGTGTGTTAGCAGTCAACTCCCCTGCATGCAACACTACAGGAAATACAGTTCCTTACTTGGCATTTTCTCAGAGAAAAAGGTAGGACTGGAACTTCTGTTTGAGATGCTAGTAAACACAGGTAAAAATAACTGGGGGGAAAAAATAAGGAATTTTTTCTGTTCATAACTTTTATTATGAACACATAGATTAAATATTAACATAGGAAAACAGAGACATTACTCGTTAGGCCTTTAAGGGGCTAGGCATCCTTAAACAGCCCCAAAAGCCCATTTTAAACAGTATCCACTGAGTTGGCAATCTCTGTAGAACCACTCTGTAGTAATCGAAGCCTCCAAAGCACCGGGATATTCCGTCTTCTCTTTCAAATAGAGTAGCATTCTACATATGGAAACAGTATGCACTTCTGTTTACTGCAGTTCAGCCACAATGAATAAAAAGATTGTCACATTCAAGTAAAGATACTCCAAGAACAACAGCTTGGTCCAGTTCCTTTTTTTCATTTTACCCAACAGGCCAGGCTCATCCCAAGTGTTGTACCTGGCTGGAGGTTAATCCTGTAGTTCAAGTAGAACAGAGGTCTGTGCTTTTAGATGTATATATGAGCAATCATATACATGGCATTTTCCCACCTTAAAAATAACTGTGACTATGCCCCTGAAAATATTGGAACTGGCAGAAAAAAGTAATCTTAGGGATTTGTAAGAAAAATATAATTTGCAATAAAAATACGGTAATTTTTCCTTGCTACAAACCAGTAACAAAAATACTCCCACATGCAATTTTTCATGATCCTAGACATGTAACACATATTTCTGCACTAGTAGCCCATCTTTTAAACAAAGCCCGAGTTCCACACTGTGCTGCATTTTAATATCAAAAAGCACTTATGTCAGTAAATATTTGCTTACTCCTTCGTACATGTTAGTCAGAGTTTTAGCAATGTAAGCAAAGGCTAGAACATTGTTGATTAGATAGGAAGTGGTTTACATATAAGAATTTTATACAAGAAATTTATCTAGAAATACTAGCCCTGATTCCAGGCAGGCTTGTTGCCTCTTTGTATTATTCCATTGATTCCAACCAGAATTCACCCAAACAGAGCAAGTCTGGAGGGCCCTACTTGCAACGATCACAGTCAGACAAACTCTTTCAATCACTCTGTTTAGAGAGAAGGATGGGGGAGAACACATGCTACAGGCATGTCAGGGTACTGAACAACCCTTCATCAAAGATGGAGACTAGAAAAGCCTTTGGATAGTGCCTTATTGCGAAGTTCCCTTTATGCCTTCTACTGCTACAGCTTTCCCACTTGCTCAGGCACACATTACTCTGACCAAATGGTGTCAGCATGGGTGCAGTCCAAGAGGCTCAGAGGTACCTAGGATGAAGCCACTGACTGGACCGATTCCTGTGAACTCTGGAGTCTGCCAAAGGCAAGATTGCAGATGAGGATAGTGCCAGTGACTAGTGAAGAAGATGCTGGTTCAAGCTACTTCTCTCCAAGACTGGATTCCTGTGCTCCTATGGAGCCTGAAAGGGACAAAAATGTATTTTTCAATGTGGATTTGTTAAAATTAAATGAGCGCTTTTCCATTTCCTAAGTTTTCTTCTTAATAATGTTTAGCCAATATTCCTCTTGGTGAAACTGAATTTTCCCAGTTACCACGGAGGTGTGATGTAGCGGAGAACTTCCAAAGAACTTCTGTAGACAATATTTTTATTTATTCTATTTTAAACAGTGTAGGAATATCTTTGTTGAAAAATCAGTCCTAAGTTTCATCTGCAGTCTTCAAGATGGACCAATGCTGTGCCACTTAACAACAACATTTTCAGGGTTAGCAATAGTATCTCTCCACTGCTTCACTGCTTCACTGTTACTGCTGTCAGAACTTATCCAGATCTGCAGAAAGAAACAACAAGAAAAATAAAATTGAGCTTACCTGATATAAAACAGAGGCCCAAAATTTATTTGCTCCAAATAAATACCATGGAAGCACAGAATGAGATACAACATGTAGACTGCGACCAAAGCGTCAGAGCAACTAATACAGATCTGTTACGACTAACATAATTTGGCTTTCAGCTGGGAACACAGGGAGTCTGGGTTTAAATTTAGACTCTAAAATAGTTTAGAGAACTCACTACATACTAATGTTTCTGTACTTAATAAGATGTTTTAAGTCAAGCATTCCTTGCTCCACTCAAATGCACGTGCTGGGGTCAAGGGCTTATGAGGGCCAGTGATGGCTCTATGCCTTCAGACTCCAATTGGCTGCAAGCCATCTGGCATCCTCAGCTAGCTGTCCAGCATTTTCATGTGCATTTAAAATTGCACACCCCAAGGGACAAGGCCAGACATGCATTCCACAGAGGTTACTAACATGCCCATACCACACATAGTCACGCAGTAAGAGTCCGTTTCTTCTCAATATTCAATTAATGGATACTTAAATGAGGAAATGAGGTACAAGGAGGACATTTTCCTCTGAACATTATCACCAGCCTCCATTGCCAAAAAGAATTCTGCTTATGTAAGTAGGTATCATTATTTACAGGACTCTATTTCCTCAGGTCTTCCAAGAATGAGTCCTTTTAAGACTTCTCAGAAACCTTCACCATGAAATACATTTAGCCTACACTGCTGAGGCATGGAGTCCTCAAAAGTGAGAATAATGTCTTCCAGAATACCACAGACATCTCCACAGAGATTCAATATACATTTTGCTCATGATTAAAGACATGCCTGTAAAAGCAGGCTAATCTAAGTATTGTCTGCTTAGAACAGCATCCAATTAAACATCACCCTCTGAAGAACAAAATTAATAGATCCAGCTATATTCATCTTTTTCCAGCTACCCAGCCAACTGCTCAAAGTACATTTTTCCCTGAGCTGTATTTTATGTCTTCATGTGTTATGTGGCAATGTCTGCCTATGTGAGCTGAAACAACCTTTCCAAATAACCTCCAAGGAGCAGAAGTAGCTCATTTCCTCCCCCTAAAAATAAGATCCATGACTAAATGTAACTCATCAGATTAATATGACCTCATATATTGCTAAGTGACTGCAAAATCATACCCGGTTATTTTTGCTCCAAGGTAGCACAACTAAGATGAACAATTCTTTTTTTTTTTATTTTTTCCTATTCCAAATCCAATTCCACCAACAACAATCACAAAAAGATGGAACATATGTGACACGAGACTCCATAAAATGGAGGAACTTCACATAACTCTTGCTGGAACATCACTTCTATAGCATATCAGCATCTCCTGTAACTGCACGTCTTCAGCAGGCACAAGAAACATCACCAGAATGGGACAGTATGATTTTTTGTACCTAAGGATAGGTACAGACATATGTCTGACAAGGGACATTACAGCTGGGGTCTTAAAATGAATTCTACGTTATTCATTTAAGCATGTATTAAAATCCTGCTACTAAATCTAGCTGAGTCAGGGAAAGCACAGAGCATTAAGAAAAGCTATGTCTTGCTATAGCAAGAAGAAAAAGAATCATAAAATACTAGGTTGGAAGGGACCTCAACGATCATCTGGTCCAACCTTTCTAGGCAGAGCATGACATCGACTAGATGTCCCAGCACCCTGTCCAGCCAAATCTTAGAAGTGTCCAACATTGAGGAATACACCACTTCCCTGGGGAGATTATCCAATAGCTGATTGTCCTCATTGGAAAAATGTTTCTCTTTGTGTCCAGTCAGAATCTCCCCAGCAGTAACTTGTGCCCATCACCCCTCATCTTTTCCATGTGATTCATTGTAAAAAGGGAGTCTGCATCTTCTTTGCAGCCACCTTTTAAATACTGGAACATAGTGAGAAGGTCTCCCCTGAGCCTTCTTGTCTCTAGGCTGAATGAACCCACTTGTCTCAGCCTTTCCTCATATGACAAGCTTCCCAGTCCTTTGGTCATCCCTGTGGCCCTTCTCTGGACCCTTCCAGCCTGTCCACGTCTTTTTTGTATAGCGGAGATCAAAACTGAACACAGTATTCCAAGTGTTACCTGACAAGCACTAAATAGAGTGGGAGAGAAAGAAGGGACAAGGTGAGTGTAAATTAGAACAACCAGGGGAAGAGGACAGAGAATAAAGACACCAGACTACCAAGTTTTATGGTGGTTAAGTAAATACGCTTTCAAAGAGACAGTACTGAAGTTCCAGCTGTTTAAAAGAGGGGATGAGGGGAGAGAGCACTCAAAAATAGGTTTGTGTTCGGTCACTTATGTTATCACTCGATCATACACATTTAGAATATTGTGCTGATTTCAGCAGTGGTCTACCCAGGAAGGCAATCTGATTGTAGCTGTTGATAATTCCTTTTAGACACACCTGTTTGTAAGTGTATTGGTATGGTAAGCCAACACACTCCCTTTCTGTACAGTACATTATGGGTTGTGGAACTCCTGTGAGTGCTGTTTCTTTTCTTTAGAAAGCCTAGAGGCAAGGAGGAGATTGTATGTCTGTCTGTGGGAAGGAATCTTCCACATAGTAGTACTCCACACAAAAATGACTCAAGGATTTCTTCTTACAAGAAAAATCAAGTGTGAACTCCCATTCTGATGTTAGCGCATGTTTAAGAGCGCAGTACTATTCTTTCTTGGGTTACATCCAGGAGAGTTTATTAGCATTTACTATTCTGCTATATGCCACCTTATTTAAAGTATTTTAAAACTCATACCAAGAAACCTGTGGAACTGGATTTTAGTTAAAGGGTATCATGTCAGTTACCAGAAACCAACCTGTCCTAGGAAGTGTTTTCTTCTCACTGAGCTTCTGCTGTAGAGCTTGATGAGAAAACCAATTCCATGTTCAGCTTGGCTAACTGGAAAAATCATCGTTTCTCCCCACTTCACTTGGCCATTAGTGGACTTCAGAAGACGAGTCTTCTTCTTATAGATCATCCCTTCTGTAGTAAACATTCCAACTTTCACAAAGAAATCTAGCACAAAAGGGAGGGGAAAAAGGCATAGCACACAAAGTGTTACTCACAAACACACCCAAAAAGGAACTGACAAGATCTACATGTATGGTTCAAATTGCAACCAATTCCCAAAAGTCTGGCCAAAAGGACTGTACAATAACTTCCCTGACTAGTCACACAGAGTATGTTCAATAATATTGAATTAATTAACACAGTATGCAAACAGCAAGTGCAACCTAATGCTTTTATATGTCAGGATTAATACTGGGATACAAACCTTCCAAAATACATAAACACATAGCTTCAAACCAAACAAAAAGTAATCAAGTAAGACATCTGTGGAAACAAGCCTTGGCAATGGAAATCTACTGCACAGTATGGTAGTCTGAGGTTTGTAAGGAATGTTATGAATTGCCAACCCATTTGAGCAGCAATTTACCTGTTACAAATGCTTCTAGACAGGAGGCATGAGACAGCTGATGTAACTTACTTGAAGACAGTGGTGTAGATGAAACTGGAAGGTTTTGTGCTTCAAGAATCTGTAACTGTATCCTCCTGTTTACTGCTTGAAAACAAGTTCCTACTTGAATTTCTGCACAGCACACCTACAAGCAGAAGAATGTTGCTATGACATCTGGATCAAGTTGCTTATAAACTCAGGAAACACAGGAATTCTGTCATATGCTGGGCTCCCACATTTATATCTGTGATTTCCTGGACAGAAATAAAAGTATGTATTGTATACACAACCTGCAGATGCACAGTAAGTTCATCTTGCACTTGTCACAGCTGCAGTACATGTGCTCTGCTGATGGACTGCTTACGTACAGCAGACATATGGCCCTAGTAGGCTGCAGCCAGAGACACTAGAGAAACAGTCACCAGGAAAGGATCCCTCAATGGTAAGTGCAGTCCAATACAGGGAAAACCTGACATGCAGCTGCAGCTCTGCTAAACCCGGTGTGGAAGTGAGAGACCCGCTATACTTCACTAGTACAAAAAACCTTTGGAGTTCTTTTCCCAAACTTCTGTATTTTACAATAAGGAGATATAAGCAATGCTTTGTATAGGTACAAGGCCCCATCACTTAATGTTATGAATATAACAGGGTGACTGCATGCTGTGATTTTTCCCATGTTATGGAATTACTTGTGTTTTACATGCCTAGGTATATACACCCCCCCCCCCCACCCCGCACCCTGGCTGTACCGAGATCTCCAGCCTTGAATTTTTTTATTTTATAATTTATAGTATTCTTGCTAGTTGCAAAGGTGCCTTGAGGCATCTTCATTACTCTCCTGTCAGATGCTAATGTACTCTGAGCACTTAAGAAGAGCGGAAGAAGTCCAGTGGAGACCCAGGTTTCCTGACAGCCTCTATTTAAAAGGATTTTGCTAATCCTAGTTCCCTTAAAGTTTTAATGCACTTCAGTGAAGCAAAATGTACCAAGTAAGAGAGCAACAGGTCAGTAACAGTGAAGTCAGGCTCCAGTTCATCTGAGAGACCCAAATTCTCTTTGCAGCTCAGCCACAAACCTTCTGTGTAACCCCAAGAGGAAGCCACTTACTCAACTGAGCTTTGGCTCTCTGTTGGCAAGTAGGGTACTTGCTGCCTGCTAGGGTAGTATAGGAATGAATTCCAGCAGTGTCTGGAGGGCTTTTAGAAATAATGATGAGAAAAGCCAACACAGAGAGAGAAAACATAGGGTGATACAGGAATTTACACTGGGATGAAGCAGTTTCTAAACCAGCTTCCTCTTTCACTTAAGCTTATGTATTTTGAAGCAATATGGTTATTCTTGTTGGAACTAAAAAATGTCAAGTGTAACTTCTGTTAGAAATCAAGAGTATCATTCATATGACTCATACACACTTAGATAAAATTTGCTTTTGAATTGCTAATTCAAGTTTAATTCGTTGCAAATACAAATGTCTAGACACAATCTGTTGAAGAAACAAACAAAGTAAGGGTAGGGGGAAAGGAAATCCCACTGTGAAAACCACCTGCTTCTTATTACGCTAATGGAAATGAACTGTCTGAATTATTACTACACAGCATGGAATCTGAACATTAAATATATAGCTATCTCTGCAGTTTCAAGCCACTGAAGATCTTGGCACTTTTCTTCCATAACAAAAGCAGACTCCATTTGCTCTGAGCTCTTGTTGTGAGTCCTAAGGATCTTCTGATACTTTTTTGGTCAGAAAAGGCAATTACCTGGTGTACATTGCTGAACATTTCCCCAGAATACTGCTCCCTCAAGCTGCAAGCCACAGTGTGGAAGAGCTTGCTCTAGTCTTTTCCGAGAAACAGCTGCAGTTTATGACCTGAACAGCTACAGTCTGCATTTTTTCCCCATCAAAATGCCTTTCCCCAAGAACAGGGCGGGGGAGAGGAGAGATGAGGGGAAGAAAAAAAACTAAAAATGGATAAAAAGAAAATAAGACAAAAAGAGACACCCCTCCCCCCCTCAATTGCATTAACATTAAATTACTACTAAATTACTTTACTTTCATTTCCAGCAACTCCTTCTAGTTGTTAAAACAACATACTTCTGCAGTATTGGCACTTACAGGTGCCTTGGAAGGAGGAGATATATCCAGCCAATGACTTGATTCCTCCGAGTTGAGCTCCCGCAGTGCCAAGGAGCATTCTCCAATTGTTTTTTTCCTGGGAGTCTGTGTCTGGATTTTAAATACCAATCGGACAGCCTGCAGGCTTTGCAGTTTAATAGCAAATACAAAAGTTTCCATAAATTCCATGTCCTAGAAATAAAAACAGAGGGGTAACGTCATCACCGTAAGAGTCGCACTGAGCTAAAAATCTAAAAACTAAGGCTTCCTGGTCCTATAGCCACTGCTCCCAGCTACCATTTTAGGTTGCCATGGAAAAGCGTGCTTTTGCAGTGGTAAGTCCCCACAGACTCACCATCTCATTGTCAATCCCTGGCAGGGACAAGGCTCTCGATTATTTTTCACTACCATAATGAGTTGAGGCCATCTGTTCTGGAGCTTTACAACAGCATATACACATTGTCACAGCTAAATCCTCTGTGGCCTTTTGCTTCTGTCTCTCCTGCTAATTTTATTTTGTTTTGCCTGTGACTCACATTATGGGAGTTTTATGCTGCTTTACCCCCTTAATATTCAGTTATTGACAGTAGCAGGAGTCTTGTCCCATGCAAGCAATTCTTACTACCTTCTGTAGAAAGGAAGTATGAACTTTGCTTCCTGCCCTAATGAGAGGCAGTACAACATCTACCTTCCCTGGGGTGAATGTGCACCTACAGATATGCCCAGTCTTCTTCCAGTCCCCCACCATTGAGTTGCCAAGGCCAGCAGCTCATGGTTCAGTCCCGTATGAGCATATCTGTCCTGCAGACTTGGGAGAGAAGGAGGGCAACAGCAGAATGCAAGAGAGGATATATAGGAGGAGGAAGTGAAACAAAGCTTTTAATAGGATTTTGTGAAGGGGGGCTGGGAGAGATGGGGAGAAGTAACCCAAACTTAGGCAACTACCACAGCAAATATGGCATACGAGTGGATGTTTGGTCCATTAAAAAAAACAAAAAACAAAACAAAACAAAAAAAAAAAAAAAAACAAAACAAAAACAAAACAAAAATACCCCACCCAAACATATTTACATTTCACTTTTATTTCTTTGGGAGAAAGATTCCATGGTGTTTTCCCCGCTTCTACTTACAGTACACCCTTCTTTGGCAGAAGATTTGAAATGCACTGGTTTGGGTAGTGTGAGAATTCCCTTGACATAGATACGAGGATGTTCCCCACAGCTAGAAGGCCAGCTTAGGTCTTTGCACTGCAACATTGAAAAAGACAGTCAGTTTAGACAACGTAAGACTCTGGCCTTCAGACAACTGAGAAAGTCTTCTACACTGTTCTAGAACTATGCTTAATTCCTGTAATACTGACTATAAATCAGAGTCAATGTAATGACTGCGTCACTTCAGATCTTTTAATAATTAATTTTTACAACCAGAGGGTAAAAAATTGTTCAGTAGATTTTAATGATTTCACTATGTGGCAATTTGACAACAGATAAATCATGAAATCCCTTATGTAGTATTTATCACTTGATGTAGTTATGAGGATTTCTGACTACTTGAACTTCCATTGCCTAAAAATTATTCACAGTTCCTGGAAATGTATAAAACAGCCAGCAAAACAATATCACATTAGCTAACAAAAAAGCCACAAGAAACTACATGTCCTCAAAGTGTTGTTATGGTTCTGCCCTGAAGGAACTGTTAAAGTCTGTTAAATGCTGCCTCCAAAATAGCTCCAGTTTGCTGCCTCCAAATTTCCATAGCAGGACCAGCCTATAACCAGCTCATCTTTCTTACCTATGCTGAACAGTTCCTCACTCCACAATCAGAATATATGTATAGTAACATATAGAGTTAGATTCAACTTTTTATACTTTTTACTATTGATTGTAGCAGAACAGAGATTGCAGCAGGGAGGTGGGGGAATGGGGTGGGGGTTGGTGAAGGAGAGGAAGATACTTTGAATGAAGGCCACTATCACATTTGACTGAGCTTTGCTTATATTAACACTTAGAAGTAATTTTCTTTTTCTCCTAGAAGTATTCCTTAATGTAACAGGAAGCCAAGTTTAATGAGATTAACACTTAGTAAAATAGACATTTGAATAAATAACAATCAAGTTATTTATATTTGCTTACATGTAAAACTGTGATCCAGATCTGTTCTACAGAAGAAACATAACACAACTTCACATTCAGTCTTCCAAAATCTCGTTCATCACCTGATAATGTAATAGTATCTGTGGAAGAAACCCAATTAGTGTTTTTGAAAGTAATGTAGTATATTAAAAGTTCATTCCAAGAATAAGGGAACTTATTAGTAGGTGGACTGCCTATCTTTGAAAACTTCTCCCAAAATAAGTTTGAACTACCTTAACACCTACATTTTAAGGACAAAATATCCATGAAGACCTGTAGCCTGACCTTCTGCACAGCCAAAAGCCTTCATGTTTACCTCAGTTATCAATATTGAATTTTATAACTTGTGTTGTACTTGAACAACTTTTACAAAGGAAAAAAAGCATATTCCTGAGACATATTTATAATGTATCACTTCCCTTGGATTAATCACTTCCACTGTTGTTTACAAATTTGTCTGCTTTTTATCTTTCCCAGCTTTCAATTCCAGTTTAGTAAACATTTTACTATTGTGATTTTCTCCAAGTCAGAAGAACCATTTAACATCCAGTGTTTCTCTGGCATAACTGAAACTGGGTCATTGCCCCTCCAGTCTTCTTTTTGAGGAGACTGGGTGAAATTCCGACTTCCAGCAGGGTCACTTCCATGGGGACTTGATTAATTTTTGAGGATTTATTTTCCAGTATCTCCACTTCTTCAGCATTTTTTCATAAATAAGCATACTGGGTTTGCATGCAGTATTCCTTCCTAATTCTCAGTGTAATGTGGGTGTTGGATTCCAGGCACTGCCCACAGAAAAACACTGGTACATAAAAAAGGACTAGAACTGTGACCAAGGTGCTGCATTCTATCCTAACAGAACATCTGCAGTTTTGTACTTCACTAAGGTAGTAAATCCAGGGGTGATTTACTAATCATAGTCATATAAAAAAACAACCCAACCAATAAAAGAAGCCCCAAACCAAAAATAAACCCAAATCAAACACCCCCTCCCCCTCCCATCAACAGTAGAGACAACTTCATGTTTCAAGTGCAAAGGGAAATATTTCATTACAAGGTAAACAAACAAAACATTACCCAGACTCCTATTACTGCCTTGTGAATCCTTCCTGGAAGAGGTACTGCTAGGTACACTGGATAATGAATCATATCTCTGGAGGCAAAAATAAAGTCACTTCATTCAGGGCAACAGATGTAAAAAGCTGGAGTTCTACCATCAGACAAGACATTATGAAAAGCAAACAACACCCAATTTCAAATAATTGTCTCATTCCCTACCAACCTCTCTATCCAGCAGCATGGAATTACTACTTTAACACAATGACAGGACACATATGGCCAGCTCAGAACCATAATCTCTTGTCTGTTTTGGCCTGCCTAACAGACTACTTGTGTTTCTCAACAGCCCCGTTGGGCCAAAACAGCAGGAGTCAGAGGAGACATCAGGAAAGAGCCTCTTGAAATTGGTCAAGACCCTGAACTTTTCCCCCTAGCCTTTCCAGTGCATAGTTCAATGGCCCTCAGTTATTGACTTTGAAAACACAATGCAACAGGAACAGATACACCAAGTAAGCTGAGTTTTCAGTATAACCTAAGTCACAAGGGGAACTCACCTTCATGAAGCGATGAGGTGGGCTTCGGAGATCAAACATTGAACGACTTACATCAAATGATCCAGGTAAAGCACTGGATCTCAAATCGCTAACTAAAAAGACAAAGAGAACAATACAGATCATGTAACCAATGTTGCTAGAAAAAAAATAAATTAAGAAGCTTTTTTAAAATTAAGTAGACCTATGGTAGGATTGAAAACTAGCTAAACGACATCTAAGGAGGGACGTTAGCACTTTTCCCTGCTTCCCCTTTTCAAGAGAGAACAAGCTGTTAAAATACCTTTATCAGTTCCATCTTTGAAATAGTTTGAACTTACTTGGTCACACTGGTAGCACTGGTGGAATGGGAAGCCTGCCTCAAAGTTATTTCCTCAAGAGAAATGGTTTTTTTTGTAGATACTTTAGCAAAATAGAAAGCCTTATCTTTAAATCTAGTCAGCCAGAACTGGGGCTTAACCTGGTCTCCTTTTTAAAATTTTTCCATAGTTAGCATCCCAGTGGCAAAAACATGTTGCCTGCTAAACTTGTCCTGATCTACCTGGCTTTACTGATCACAGTGTCAAAATACCATAATCTGCACCCTTACTTGATCTCAGACAAAGCAAGTCTTAACTCTAAGATGACACATACTTGTTACAGCAAAAAAAGCAAGATCTTTATCTTTATAGAAGGATAGTTTCCTCAGCAGTTGGAGGTGGTTAAATAGAGCCTATCAGTTTTCTTTTGACCTCGAAGCAATACAGAGCTAAAGCACGCAGTCTGTGCATAGTACGTAGCACTAGCAGAAAATGAGAGCTGAACTAGCGCCACTGTTTCAGAAATCTTTGCTGACTCCCATAATGTTCAAGAGTTTTTTCAAGCCTCTCAGCTTCAAAACTGACCCACGCTGAAAGCAGTATGGTTTTACTTCTGGGACTATCTGATGCTTTTTCTTGCAATGCTGTTACAATATTTCAGAATTGTTACAGTATTTCAGAAGACTTCTATTACAATTCACTGATCACAGCTTAATAGAATTACATTGCTTGTTACTGGAAATTTATTTCTTTTTTATTGCTATCAAAAGAAAAAAACAATTATGCTTCTTGTAAGATGTGACAATAAAGAGTAAATCTTTCTTTTCCCAAGGAAGAAAAAGAAAGCAAAAGATATAGTTTTGAGAACCCATAGGAGGAAAAGGAAAGTAACATCATAATCTAGATAAAATTTAATGAAGGCCTGTATGCCTGGCACAAGCTCCAAATTCTCTTCTGTGCATGACATAAAAGGTCTCAGTTGTTCATGAAGTCTGGTGTAGAAGTACCATTATAGTATCATACAAAGCCTAGAAATCTTATTTGATATAATGGGAGCAAGTAGTAGAGTCCAGCTCATTAGTTGATTTGAAATTGATTATGGTTATGGAAATTCATTCCATATTCAGTACGCATGACTTTCACAGCTTACTAGGAAACATCCACTCCAGCCTACAGGTTACAAATCACCAAAATGTTTTAAAGACAGTATGATCTGCTGCATCTAGTAAAGGTGGTTAACATTTTCAAAGAAGATGGAGGGAGGGCTTGACATGAAAATTCAAGAATTTCACTTCATACCTTCCAAGTAAACGCATTCCGTAGTTCTAAGCCCACCCACATGAATAGTATCATAGCACTTGCTGCAACACAACAGGCTTAGAGTTTTGCTTAAATAGTCTATAGATGTACATGAAGAGAATCACGTAGGTTCTGAAAGAGCTGTCAAAAAAACTCTGGAGGAAGAAGACTTTTTTAGAACTGTACTCTAGACAAGCTTAAGTGACCTTTCTTAAGCTTACTAAGACAAAACCAGTGAAGCATTTAGTTAGCTTGAAGAAAAACATAAAAGAGATGATGTACTGAAGGGAAAATTCAAGACAGTTTATAAAACCCATTTGGCTCCCACCACAGGTGCTTACAAAGCCTAGCAAAACCATATGCGTTAAAGGCGGCTGAAATGCTATGTGTGTTTTGTTCTCTTAAAAAGAAAATAAATGGAGTAGTCTTCTCACGTAGTCTCTGTGGTGATTCAGAATTATTTTTAAAACAAGCCACAGACTGAGATATTTCCCCCAGCTGTAGAAGCAGCATGCTATACCATTTTAACTAAAAAACCATCTTTTAAAATACATGTTGTTGCCACCTTCTGATTCAATAGAGGTGTGTACATTTCTTTGACTGTATCAGCCTTAGCAATCACTTCCAGCAAGCAACACTTAGTCGTTTACTTTACTCTAAACAGTATTCATTATAGGATACATATACCAACGAACAGCACAGAAGTAAACTTTCACCTAGGTAGCTAAACACTTTCTAGCTAAACTTTTACTATCTCACAGCCCTCCCCCATTCTTAAACACATGCAATAAGAAGTGGGGATGTTTCTGCACCTTCAAACGCCAGAAAAGCTGGCATATAGCATCACTTCCCATTTTGCACCTGTTCTTATCATCTGCTCCTGAATGTTTTTTTGGTGCTTGTTCCTCTTTGTGTGTGTGTGTGTATATATATACACACACTCATGCATTCCTCCACTCAACATACTGCCTGACTTCTTTTTACATCTCCCTCACTCTATTACTGGTAATTGGAATCCGCAGTACTGCATCCTGTTTGGGATCAGAGGCAGCTACAGGAGCTTGCCTTGCCAATTTTTTACCTTCGTGTGATTCATGCAAGTCTTGTTAAGCCCTCAAAAGGGACAAAGTTACAGTGCAGCTGGAAATCAAAGTAGAACTGGCTCCACAAACTGATCCACCAACCAAAAAGCATCTGTAGCATACAGACTAGTTTGAGAACTGCTATAACAAACATCTTCTGTAGACTAATGGCTTTTTTCTCTTACCTATAAACCCTGGAAAAGAGAGGAAGACAGAAAAATGAGGGTGCAATCCTTCTCACCTGATCCATATAATTTCCTATTATCTGATTTTGCTTGGAAGCGCCTAATCAGATCTGGCGAAACCCGCTGCTCCAAATAGAACGGGTTATACACGTCATAGTGGGGCCACTGGTACACGCCGTGCAGTTCTGCTTTCCGGTCACCAAATGAGGCTCTGGCAGATTCTGTGGAGCACAAGTAAACATCAAATGCAAGAGTTCCAGACATAACACATGCTGCCTGGCTTCAAAAGGCAGGCAGATTGCCTTCCGGGCAAAGGACAAAATATTTCAATATTATCTACTTCAGGAAAAGGAAAAAAAGAAGTAAAGAAAACACACATACACATTATGTCAGATTTCCACAGTGTGCCTGCAAACACTGGAATTAAATTGGCCATAAAAAGCTATGCACACCCTGTCTTGGAGTTCCACAATAAATGCCGAACTAGTTAAAATACAGAAGGCTCCAAAACCAGCCAGCAAGATAGAAATCAACAGCAAAAGTAGGGCCATGTGTACATGTACTTCTGACTTATTTGGCCATCTACCCCCAGTACATTCCCATTCAGCTAATGGATCCCCAAACCTTCAGGAGGGTCTCGTATGGAAAGATAATGCAGCTTGTGACTACAGTCTCCTTGTCATCCAATTTCCATAGGAAGTCTGTCAGTGGTAAGATCACTAGGCCAAAATGACTTGAATTGTTGGCTGAGACAAAAGTAGACAGACCTGAGACTGCTTGAATCCCAGCCCTTTACTCAGCCCATTACAGCACAGCTGCCCTATTTTTCTTTCTTTTATTTATAATCATTTCAGAAAAAACGTACATGTCTTGGTCAGCAGAACAGTAAAGAACTGTTATAGTGCTTCATTTTGTCTGTCTGGAGCAAAAATAAGCCTTATATAACAGTAGAGAACTGGGGTGGGGTGACCTGGACTCTGCAAAGCTGACATTTGCATCCTTCACTTCACCTCCCTGGACTTCATCTGTTAAAAAGTTCTTTACCTCATTATAAAGTGCCTTCAATTCTGTAAATACATTGCACCGTAAGAGGCAAACTATTATTGCTGTAAAATCCTTTCCTCCAGGTGTTAGTAAAGTAAGTAGCAAAGAATAACTAAAACAGTGAGATGGAACATGAGAGATGATAAAGCATTAATTCAAGTATAACGGGCTTGAGTATGACATGAATCAGGATGAACGCTAGAAGTGAGGCCACAAAGAACTGCTACACAGCAGATGATGCAAAAGCCAGTGTTCCAGACCAGGAGCACACTTCTTCCTGCTAGCTTACTTCTGTGACAACATGAGACACGCTGCAGTGAGCACTGAAGCGAAAGGCTGCCAGAACTTAGTTCTTTCAGAAGGGATTCCAAGAGCTGACACTGAGCATGTTCAGTTTCACTAAAGGAAAATGGTCAGACATGCACAGAAAATGGAGCAGAACTGAAAGTAGAACTTGGACTTCTACAGGTATTTAACAGTGGCCTAAGAGGCAAATACTCCAAATACTTTTTTTTGAATATGCTTTTGACTAATGTGAAGAAGGAATGACAGCACACTTCAGTGTATTTAGTATATCTCCCTAAAAAGTAAACTTTGCATTTTTAAACAGAACTTTAATGAGGCTTAAAAAGCTGTACTTTAAAAAATAAGTATTTTTATTTGGAAAGAGGAATGGAAGTTGCCAACTTGACATAAGAGCCACTTTTCAAATATTTGTTCAAGAATTTCAAATATTTGCTCAATAGAAACAACCATGAACAGTCAGGTCATCTTGCCAGAAGATGTAAGAGGTTTATAGCCTAAGAGCCACTGTTCACCAGGTCCTTCAGAAATTATGATAAAGCAGAATTCCCAGTCCTGACAAACTTCTCTGTGCAGTATCTTAAGAATAAGGTTGGACAAAGCAAGGCAGAGCCTGAACCCAGACCCAGTTAGAAAGGGTATTACCATGATCATGTCCTGCATGTCTGTACTTTGTCCAAGTATGGACTTAAAAGAACCAGCTACTGAAATAGCAGGCAAGTGGGGAGGCTAACAGAGGTCAGGCTCAGCGATGAGGAGGGTCTCACATGTTCTATCTCCACCTATTAGGTTGCCTGTCCATGCCTGGTGAGGCAGACCTCACAGAGAAAAAACAAAACACTAACCAGATCAGGCACAGAGTGGCCAATCTATACCAAAAAGCTCTGTTAAGCTGATTAGCCTGGTTGTGGTGCCAGTGTTACCAGCAGGGATGGGTGAGGAGGCAGTTTGGCGATAGGCATGAAGGGGGAGAAAAGAAGCAACAGCAAGGACCTCGGGAGAACAGACAAGTGTGTCAGTAAAACCACACAAACACAAAGCAGTTAGGTAGTCCTGTGTTGGGTATTATGCAACATGTGGTTGACTTTTTTCCAGTTACTCAAAAAAAGGTTTCCACCTTCAGAAAAGATACAATCACATGGGATTAAAAGCTTATCACACCCTCAAAGAAAAGTAGCTCTAGAGAAAACAACCATTCAGGTATGCCCCTATGCCAGAATTTTTCCTTACCTAATTCTATGCATCTCCTGGCAGGACGAAGAGCCTAGCAATAGCATGTGACCTGACACTCACATTACTGGGCCAGGCTCCTATTCTTTTAAAATGCCACTGTGCCTAAATTGCACGTACATCATTTTGGCAGTCTGAGCATAGGACTAAGTGGCAGAGGTTGAAGCATAAGATTGTCATGAAGCAAAGAATCACAGCAGGATGTGCAACCTTATACCACTGAGATCCATGATCCTTGGCCTCCCAAAAAGCAGCAAAAAGACCAGGAAATAGGGGCAAAAAAAATCCACCATGTAGTAGCATATGCTGTCTATTGGCAAAAATATGAAAAGATGTGTTAGTATGTTAAAGTATATCAGTTCATTAAACATGAAAGCCAGACCACCCTCCTTCTTTACTTGAGTCATCTGGATATTAGGAATATGTTAGGTCTTTCCTTGCCTCCAAGAAATTCTCTGCTAAAGCTTCTATTTCCTTTTGAGTATAAGCACTGCTGTGCAATCCTCCCTTTCAGTTTTATTCATGCAACATCACAGAGATTCACAGTGGGAAGACATCCTTCTCAAAACCTCTCTGGGTGCCCAGACAGAAAAGAAAGAAAAGCAGGCTTCTAGAAAAGTTCTGCAAACATGTTTTCAGTAGGAATAATCTGTAACTTCTAAGGAGTAGCATAAGCTAAACAACTATTTCAGCAATGCTGTTTATATTTTACCTTGAATCCCTCCTTGTGAGATACTAGGAAGGTTCTTTGGTTGTACATAGGCCAATTTGAATTGAGGAACCACAAATGGTACCTCCTGACCATCCAGGGGCAGTTTAGAAAGCAGATAATCCTCTGAACAGCCAACTTGTCGCTTCACTGACACAGAAGACAATGGACGCTTCTCTACAATAGCTGGCTTGCTTGCGGCTGCTGCTTCAGATTCCTTCACCATGGAAACTGCTAAAAATAAAACGCAAGAAAACCAGACAGTCCACATGTGCATTAAGTTTTGAACAATACTGTGAACAGATCTCTTTTATTTCATAGGATCTGTGCTTGATACATTACTGCTAGTGTTCAGTTTTACCAGCATTCAGGACTAGCACCTGGAAAAGATATTCATCCTCACGACATCTGTAATGATCCAAATTCTTTGTTGCCCAAGCTTCTATATTTATAGCTACCTTGCTTTTAAGTGATTTTTACAAAAGATACATTTGTATCATAGGAGAGTTCTTCAAACATCTGAGACACCAAAGCAAATCCACAGAGAGTTTACAAAAGAAAAAAAAAACATTCACTCTTAGAGTTCGAAAGATAGAAGACATTTACAACCTTGGATAAAAAGCTAGCTTTTTTTGGACAACATTCTAGGCTGCAAGGAGCAGACCTAAAACGAGTGTTATTTTTCAGTTCCAATTCCAATTCACAACACTAAGAAGCATGTGTTCAATCTCCAAATGAGGTATGGAAAGAATTTTGGATATTGTAAAAAGAATTCAAGCTTATCAGTTGTAACACAGTCATTTTACTAATGGGAAATCTCATAATTAATGAAGCCAGAACAGCAAACCCCTTAGTTCATGTCATTATGTCTGAACTCACGATAATTCTTTTCTTTTTCCATGCAGAAACACCATTTACAGCAGTCTTTTATACATTCTGTTGCCATTGTTTTCAGTGCTGCAATTTAGAGGAGATCACAAGCAAAGATCAAACCTGAAAAACACAATAGAACAAACCATAGCAGATGGGAATAACTGAAATCAAAATGCAGTATTATCGGTTATTTAATACATGACTGCTTACTGGACACAGTCCCAGGGTCAGTGAGAAAGCTACTTCAGTCATAAAAGGATCAGAGCAATCAGATTTACTCAGATCTTACTGAGACTTTTTTTTATAGAAGCACAGGAAAGAGATCATTTTAACACACAGCATCCAAGTACTTTCAGTGACCCACTCAGACAGGTCCCTGTCTTTTGGGAACACTAAAATTCTCCTCATATTTCTGTGTATCACTGGGCTGTGGAGCTTACTCGGCTGTGGTCTTGTCAAGTAATTTGCAAGGTGTGTTTTTTATTCCATTTCCCTTCTTCATGCTTCTCCTGTCCTCTTTCACTCATGCACTATTTGCACATACATCCATTCGCGTTTACATTTTTCACTCAACATACTCCATTCTTCACATTTAAAAACACTTGTTATAAGTGATGCCAAAATTGCCTTCTTTGAGGAACTACTGCTTTCTCGTAATTGTATACACATAAATCTGAAGACCTGGTTTATTATATTATTGTCTACTATGCATACAGAAATAGAGAGCATTGATTTCCAGCACAATAAGAGGCATGTAATCTACTAAAGAATAAGAACAAATCTGTAACAGCTGGTTAACATTAAAAGAACTTTATGACAATGCTAACTGGCCTCATTTAAATGTCTTTATTCATATCCTTATGTTCTCTTTTCAGAGGGACTCAGACAGCTGCATTGCCTCCTGTCCAAGACTTTAGCTGTCTAAGTCTAGTTCATTTACATGTAACTAAAGTACACAAGGTTCTTTGTAGAACATACCCAAAATGTGAATCCAACTCCATGGAGATCAGAAGACATCAAGCAGAACATGAGTATTAGCTGAACAGATGAAGAAGACAAGAAGAGAAAGGGGGAAAGCATAGAAAGATGACAATTATATACAAATGAACGCATTTACCCAGTTATCTCAATTGCAAGAAATTGCTGAAAGCTTCTATGCTCCAGCACAGGAGCCATTCCCACCTGTAGCTTGAACAGTGCCAGCATTTTCTTTGTATGTGTATTCAAAGACAGCTAGGGAACCACACAAACACTATGGAAATAACACTAATATCCCCAAAACTTTCATTAAAAGCCCCTCAAACTTCTGATGGATGCCAAGCACAGATACTAAGCTACAGACACTTCATCTAACTTAGAAAATGTGCTTTCTTGTGTTAACATTATTTATTTCCATGGGTAGGGAGCAACTGAAAGTTATCAATAGATGTATCAATTTGCAAATGCTGACCAAACATAGCGTATCCTTACTGACCTGCTCTTTTGTGCTCTACAGTACCTCAGCACAGCTAGTTACGTTTTACCCTATGGGTTTTGCAAAGTTACTGAGAGCACGTGGCTTCCTGAGGAAGTCTTGAATTAACTTGGTATCTTTAAAATACTAGTGTGAAATATAATGAAGGTTTATTATTACAACTACATAACTGTTCCAGAATTATTCTTAATCATGAGCTATCACAAAGTACTGATTAGAAAGAAATTAAAATGTATTCCCATTAGACCTAAACCTAAGTAAACCATTCTTCTACTGCAACAAGGACCTAAGGGAATGTTTGGTTTAATACAATTTCTCTGAATAATTTTTGCTGATTTTACCACTAAGTGACATTAATTATTTCCTCTAGTCTTATACTGCTCTTTGTGCTCAATAGACAAAAATGAACAAAACCCAAGTGAATGTAAAAACCTCAGAAGTAGCCTGAATACAAATAGTACACGTTAGTCTGGAAAATGGGAATGCTACTGAAGAGATCACAGCGTAGCCTCTATCCAGACACCGTAAGTCTGCACAGAATCCAGCACTCAGTACTCAAAATTGCCCATGAATGTAAGTACAGTATGAGATCTGCATCAAAAATCTTCAGAGGCCATGCCACTGACTCCAGAACCTGCTCTGCATCTATGCTGAAGCATAAAAAGAGGCAAGGGAATTTCTCATTAAATTCACCACGTTTCTAAGGATCAAATTTCCATTGCTGCTCCTCCTTTGGAGGCACAGTCATGATACCTAAGCCTGCTAGAATTACAAGTTTACTTTAAGGTTCCCTTGCAGTGATTTTCCTTCCCAGCTGTTACCAGTACACAGCTGGTGTTAATATGCTTTCCTCTTGTTCACCATGTTTAAACCAGGCTGGAACAGCTGCTTTGTTTGTTCTAAGCTTTGAAACAATGGTATCTAAGCCTCAGTGGCAGTTTGCACAGGCAAAACAGTCTTTTATCTCAAAACGTCCAGACTGAATTTATTCACTACTGCTGATGAAGAAACCAAATGTCAGTAACCGACCCACTTTCCAGCTACATAAAGTGGAAAAAATAATTTTTCTGCATCAGAGAGGATTCAGTTTATGGTAGAGATTATTTTCCTCAGAACTATTTAGCTGAAGCCATTAATGTAAGCAAATAAACAAATGTAAATAGTCTGTCACAAGCAGTTGCCTTACCTAGAAAGAAAGGGCTATATATGGGTATTGAGAATGTAACGGTCATAGTGCAATTCTACATCTTTTGTATTTCTAACATTAAAAAAAAAATCATATTTTTCACAATAAGAACAAGGAACCTGAGATAGTCTTTGACTATTATTTTTCCCCCATTTATCAATATGCAAATATTCATACTTTTTTTTCTATCTTCAGTCAGATATAAAGCAATTCATCACTACCTATTGTACAGTAGAGAGTACTCTATTTACAGATTACTGTTTTGTAGACAAGGTCTTATCAGTAGCAGATGCCAAAGAATATAGACACATAGCTTGGAATTTCCAATACAATTTCAGCTTAAATACAGTATTTTGAAAAGAAAGTTCCAAGAGTAAGAAACTAGAACACTCTTTACACTTTTTTGAGCTTGAAAATGTAATGGTTTCAGTGACAATATTTGTGCTTGTGTTCCTAGACTTCTACCAGACCCCCATTACAAAAAAAAGACCGCATTTGCTGAGGGATAGATCACCTGCACGTAGTGCTCCCTCATACCACTTTGAGCACTTTGCTTTGTTTGTGAAATCATAACAGGGATGGTCTCAGTTACTTTTTAAAGTTTTAATGTACTTCAGTAAGCTACAGAGATAAATATATATGGGGTTTTTTTGGTTTAGTTCAGAAGAGCCATCTTGGCAATAAATTAGATGGCTTGGATCCAGTTCATTTATTTTCTCATGCCTGTGTTTCCCAAGTTGCTTAAGGTTAGTCATACAACTTTCACTGCATGCAAAAGTTTCATCTTAACCATATTGGACAGACAGAAATTTAGCAGGTTCTGGTGTATATTTTATTAACCAAAAGCGAACTAAAATCTTGCAGAAAATTAAACCAATATTTCATGATCTTGGCAGAGGTTGACATTTCTATCAAAGGTTACACTTCTCCCACATGCCAGAACCTTCTGCGGGTGTCAGCTACCCAAAAATACTCAGTGTATCATTTAAGAGTTGTTAAAAGGTTGTACTAACATGCATTTGCCTGGAAATTTACCAAATAAATCTGAACTGTAGAGACATTTGTTAGGTGCTCCGCTCAATTCCAAAGATGTACTGACTTTCCAGCAATACCATCCGTCTTAACCAGAAGTTAGGACTCCTTGACCCCATCTCTAAGTTTTCGGGTCAATTTTTGTTAGGCAATATGCATACATCACAGACATCATCTGGGTTCAAACTTAAACAGGGGAAGTTTAG